TTATGAACGAATACAAGGTTGAGCGTATTTTCTACGCACTTTTAATGCACACTCTTTTGTCTCTTTGTTAACTCTAGTTACTAGCTTTCTTGCCAACCAGACAAATATAAAACCATAAAATAAAATACATGAAAACAGTTTCGCCACATGGTTCCACACATACATAACGCGTCTTATTTAAAATTATTCATAACACTTACACTTATTAACATTATTCTCATCCCATCCTCCTCCTCCGCCAACACCATGTTATTCGCATATAACAGCGAATAAATTTTCTCTCCTTCTAGCTTGACCCTATACCTCACCATCAGACCAAATATTTTTTCTAAAGTTTCAACCTTACTGACATGCTTCTCATTCCATCCTTTTTTTCCACCAACACCATGTCATCCGCATATAACAGCGAATAGATTTTCTCTCCTTCTACCTTGACCCCGTACCTCACCATCAATCAGACCAAATATTTTTTCTAAAGTTTCAACCTTACTAACATGATTCTCATCCCATCCCTCTCCTCCACCAACACCATGTCATTCGCGTATAACAGCGAATAAATTTTCTCTCTTTCTACCTTGACCCCATACCTTACCATCAATCAGACCAAATATAATTGATGCGAGTGTCTTTGTACGCGACGCGCGGGTCTTAACGGCGTGTGTTTTGTCAGGAAGATAACATTAATATCTGCACTGTGGTTTCGTATATATATAAACAGTTGATTGGTTTCTCAAAAAACACGAGTATCGAAAATGTTTATTTTTTAGGATGATTCGATATACACTCGGAAGCAACGATATGTGGTAATATACGGCGCGCATTCGCCTCGCGTTATCCGGAGAACGATTTAACGCTTGTAATTTGCATCTTGTTTCCGATTCCGTGGCAACGCCTTGCGACGAATACCCTATGCCTATTTAACAGGCGACGCTTCGGGAGATATCGTCGCGAGCCACGCGTAGTCGGACGGACGCGCGATCACGCTTAAGGCCGTCGCCTTGAATCGCGCTAGGCTCGAACACACGATTTCGCACGGTTATGTTAAATGTGAGTCGATCCGTCGGATACCGAATTTACTCGGCCGAAGATGCTTTCGGATCCGCGTATCAAACTAGAGTGAGACTCGACGCTGGCTCTCCTACAACCATAACCGCCCTTATCCCTTTCGGTCATACCCGACTTTCACCAAACGGCCTTGGACGATAACAAAGCCGTAGACCTCTTGGTAGGTAAACAAATGCGTCAGGCATCCTTTGACGACGCAACGGCTCGAAGCGGGCCGATAACGAATCGGGACTTCCTTTATGACGCACGTCTCGACGTGGCGGCAGAAAGTCCAGGATCACCGGCGCCGAGCCTCTAATTGTTTAGACGTGCGGGAGCTCATTTTTTGTCGTTCCGCATTGAAATAATATAAATATGTGTATTTTATTCATTATGTGTGAAATTCATTATATTTGTCTTGCGCACATCCAATTCTACTCCTTTTCTGTCCAAATATTTTTTCTAGAGTTCCAATCCTATTAACATGTTTCTCATCCTATCCTCCTCTTCCGCCAACACCATGTCATCCGCATATAACAGCGAATAAATTATCTCTCCTTCTAGCTTGATCCCATACCTCACCATCAATCAGACCAAATATTTTTTCTAAAGTTTCAACCTTACTAACATGAATTTTATCCCATCCTCCTCCTCCGTCAACACCATGTCATCCGCATATAACAGCAAATAAATTTTCTTTCCTTCTAGCTTGACCCCATACCTCACCATCAATCAAACCAAATATTTTTTCTAAAGTTTCAACCTTACGAACATGATTCTCATTCTGTAACGACGAGACCGAGGGTCGTGCACGACATGCGTAACACAGATTATAAATGCGATACATACATACAATTACCGAACGTTCGAACTTATAGCGTTTATCACTGGTAAGAACTGAGTGCGCATCGAAACTGCACGAGTGCGCACCGGCACGGCACGAGGTTTCTGAAAGTGCGAGTTTCTTAACTCCCAGCTAAACACTCTACGCCGATCGAGTGTCACAATTTTCTGGTATCTGTGTGTCTTTTTTCAAACATATGATCTTCTTGTCAATAGGAAGTAAAATTTAAGGTTAATAACAAATTGTTAACGTTAGAACTGCAAGCAAATTATATTATTATAACTGTAATACATAATTTTC